TTCTCTACTACTTCCCTCCCTTCTCCCTCCCTTCTTTGTTCAAATGGAGAGGATATAAGGAGAATTCAGATCCTGCATGTCTTAAGCGAAAGCGTTCCCAAGGTACAGTAACTGTAGATTTCTTTTTTGTAGTACTCCTGGCTTAGGAAGCTTTATATTCTAGTTTGCTTCTCTCAGTTAAATGTGTTAGATTGACATGCTTCAACTTCTTGGGCAGTATACTTGCCATTTCCTTCAGAAGAGAAGGAAAAACCATCATTGGTCTTAGAAGAAAAGTAGAAGTGCTGTGAATCTTAGAGAAAAGTAGATGCAGTATCATGCAGTAATTGCTGTTGTGATTGGTTTTGACTGTGATGATAACAGTATCATGCAGTGATTGCTGTTGTGATTGGTTTTGACTGTGATGAAAACTGGAAATGTTAGTTTCCTCCACTTTTTGCGTGTGGTTTGGTGTTTTCAATAAACTAAAAGCAGCTTTTTTAGACTCACAGCAGGCCTGGTATAAGATAAATTATGTCAGAGAAGGACTGAAGGGCTTATGCTAGGCAATGGTTTGTTTTAATAAATGCTTTTTAATAATGTGTGCATCTTTTATTTTTATGTTGTAAATTATTTTTTGTGCAGCTTTTGTATAATTACTAGAATGAAATGAGATTTTGCCCTTAAAAAAGGAAGCTGTGTAGAACACCTGAGTTGCTGCTGAGTTTCAGAAAACAACTTTGAACTTTGCAGCAGTTGATGCTGTGCAAATGAGCTTCAGAAGGTGGGAGAAGATCCTACAGGAGCCATTAATGATTGCAAAAAGCTCAAAAGTACTTGTCACTGGTCTCTCTGTGCCACTGTTAAAGCCAGTAGTGATTCAACTTTTGCTGACTTCAGTGACTGTGGAACTAGACTTCTGAAAACTGCACCCTCCATTTAAAATGTAAATGCACATGGGAGGTTTAGGGTAACTCGTGTCAGGCCATATATTCCTTTAGCTCCTGGGTATATTGTAAATTATAAGAATTCATTTTGACATGCATAGATGTTTACCTTTTGATTTTCTTTAATTATATTTTTTCTCCAATTGGGTCTAAATCAAAGTGCCTGAAACCAAAATGTTTGCTATTAAACTTTTTCCTGCTGCTTCTCACACATAGAGCTCAAGCCTGTTAAAGGTGAATAATTGCAACTACTGTCTTCAGCAGTAAGAAAGGACTTCTGCCTTCTATTTTGTGATCAGAATTTTGAAATTATTCTGTCATTTTTTTTCCTCCAGATCACCTTCAGTTGTGGTAATGAATGTGCTTGAGTTAAAAAATTAAACTAGGTGCTGTGACAAATAGTGACATTGATGAAGTGAGAGGTGCTGAATGACAGCAATGTGAAATAGCCCAATTTAATTAAGAGCAATATAATTTTTAATGGCTTTGCATTTGGTTTTTAAATAAACACCAAAAAGGTTTTAAAACCTACAGCTGCACCTCAGGTCTACATACCAGAACTCTACATACCAGGGGTGTTTAAGAACAAGAGGGGTCAAGTTATGCTCTTAGCTCCCTGTATGATGTGGCAGGGGTTTGTGCAGAAAGTAGTGCTTACTGATTTATTTTTAAATCCCTGAAAAAAAAAGAAGGCAGCAAAGGTTTTCAGGCAGTGTGTGCCCCTTCCCTGGTCTTTAGCCCTGACTGGAGTGGCAGTGGCTTTGCAGAGGAAATGGAGGTAACATCAGCTCTTAGCACTTCGAAGATGTTTTCCTTTAGACTGATATTGCCTGGAGCACAGTCAAACTCTGGTAGAAGAGAATCACCCCAGTGCTTCAGGTTTGGCAGGTGGGTGAAAGAATCAAGGAGAAAACCAAGTGCTTGCCTTAAAAGATACCTCATTTTAAACTGTTGGCCCCCTGAAGTGCCATGTTCAAGTGCCTGTCTGTCTGCACTCACTCCTGGGGGTGTTGAGCTCCTCAAGCACTTGAGCTGGGAGGATGTTTGCCCTGGCAGTGCACATCCCCAGCTTCTCCACAGGTTTTGTGCTATGAGCATAAAACATAGTGCAGGCTTTCTGCTCCTCTGGTTCTCCAGGTGTTTTGACTCCAGATGAGTTTTTGCAGTCTCACTGAGATCAGGTTCTTCAAGGCTTTAGGAATATCTATTCTATATTTCATGTTTACCTCTTCATTTTTCATATTTAAACTCTTTAGGGGGATTTTTCCCCTCTGTTCATCTACCTTTGTGGACCTGGAGGTTTGTGTGATAGTAACCATGGATTTCTTCAACTGAAGAAAGTCCTTTCTTCATCCCTCTTCTTTCCCCTGTTTCTCTCCTCATTTCCCCATGGCTTGCTCACTCCTGTCAAGCATCAGGCCATCTTCCATCTACAGTGGGGCTGTGCCTTCCACCTGCTACTCTTCAGTGTCTGTCATGGTTAGTATTCCTGAAAAATGTTTCATTTCTAGTTTCTGGCTAGAGAGGAAACCAAAACTTGGTCTCATTTCCATGGGCTTGGCCTTCAATCCCAAACTAGAAGACAAAGCAGTGCACAGAATACCTGGGCTTTTCTGCAGCTGGGGAAGATGCACCTATGGAGACACCTGCTAAGAAAGTGCGTGTTGTCAGTGTCAGAGAAGTAGTTCATGTGAAAACAAAGCTGCAAGAAGTCTGTTCCAGAGGGAGATTCCTGTCCCATGGTGTTATAGCAGAGCCTTCATCTTCTGAGCCTGCTGTCAGATCTCGGGGGAGCTTTGCAACATCCTTCCTGGTGCTGTGCAGAGAACCTGCAGACATATAAAGTGTCCTCCTGAGGGTCCCAGGAGGCAGAGGAATGAACACGAAGAGCATTCCGCTCTGCCATACCCACTGCCTAATCTGAATGCTGTGACTTGCCTTCCCCAGCTGTGCTTTGGTGACTTCCTGACACTCTGTGACACCTCTCGGTGTGAACAGCTCCTGAGCTTTCAATTTGTCTACTTCTCCAGCAGGCAAGTTCCTCTGTTGTCAAGAGACAAGGAGTTATGGTCCTACTGAAGGATACTGGTAGTTTAATCTGGTGCTTGTGTTAATAGTAGACCAAAATGTTCAGTTTCCCTTTTGAAGACATTGCTAAGAATGCAGAGAATTCATGTTGGATATTTCACTTGCAGTTCCTCAGTGCTTGTGTGTTGACTTTGATGTGTCCTCCAACATACATGCTGTTGAAGAGAACTATAAGTGTAAAAATGAGGAATTCGTTTTTCCCCAGTGAGAATAATTCATGCAGGATAGGCAAAAACATACTTCTTTCTGTATATTCTTTACAGTAGAGAAGCTGAACTTGATTGCAGACAAAGTTTGAGGATCTCTTCTCCCCAAACTGCTGCTCTTCCAGTGGGAATAAGTAACTCAGCCACAGGCCTCTTCATCTCTTCCTCTGCATCCTTTGGACATTGAGCACAACGGTCTCCACAGATATCAGGTTTCCAGCCCTCCTCTGTCACCTTCCCCAGGAATATAATCTGAGAGGGATTTACAGAATGCAAGTGGAACAGCTCTAAAAGTCCTGCTGGGTGATGCATGAGAAGTCTGCATGGGTCATAGAATCGAGAATGGAGGAGATTGCAGAGACATCTGCAAGGAGGACCCTTGTCACCAGACTGTGAGCCTGACTCAGGACATCAGTCTCCAAGTCTGAAAGAGGAAATTTTGCTGGGAATTTCCTTTCCTTCTCCAGTTTAAGATTTGTGGACATGGACTTCTCTCTGGGCCTGCAGAGATGTTTATGAAAACATGTTCATTGAGTTCTCATTCTTGCTCTGGCCAGCTGTTACCCTAAGCTGACATTTCTGCTTTTCAAAGCCAGGCTGATATCCTTTCCTTGCAGTTCTTGCTCTGCTGTGTAAAACAGCAGTAGAATTCTAGTTATTTTTGGTGAATCAGTTGTTTGCTGTAACAGAAGGGATAATCCTTTTCTAATCCCCTTGTTTCTCATTTGAGTGGCTTCAAGCAGGGGAAAGGTTAGAGCTCCACCTGTTATGGGGGAAAAAAAACCCTAAAGCCAAAACAACCCTCTGGGTGTTTTCCATTACTTTGCACTTTTGAGCAAGATTGATGACAGTTAAGTAACACTTCTTTTATTTGTCACAGAGGTATTGCTGTTAGGTCTCCATATGTTGTGTAACCCATGTTAGATGAGACCTAAGAAGCAGATTTCCAAACTCAGGGGAAATCTGTATTACTAATAGTACAGCTCTAAGCCTTAGATGAGAGACTCTGACTTGCATTATAACATGCCTGCTGTGCTTGATCCCAACAATCAGGAGGTGTGTCATGGGGTTGGTCCCAAAGCTCAGTCAGTTCCAAATCTGGAAAACACAATAACTGCACACACACACACAAAAAAAAAACACACTAAAGCTCTTAGTGGTTTTTGAAAGAGCTAAATTCTGTTCTGTGCCAGAAATCACTCATTCACAGATTTTCTCATTGAACTCTGTTTCCAGCTCCTAGAGGTTTCTGAAAGGATAGAAATGCAATGGAGCCTTGAAAGCCTCTGGGTTGCTGTAGTGAAGTGTTGCCTCAGTCAAAATCAGGGATCTCATTGTCCAGGACACAGGAGAGAGAAAGAAAATAGGGATGAAATTGTGCTTTTACTAGCAAGAGTGCATAGGGCAGCCACCTGGTCATGGCACCAACCTGCAGTATTTCAGGCTGCATTGCCCCACCCACCCCTGCCCTGGTTCTTGTTTTCAGCTAAGGGAATATTTTTGAAAACCTACCATCCCAGAATGAGGGTGAGGAGGATAATGATGTGAAATGTCCTCAGAGGTGGTCTCCAAACTGGTGCTTGTCCTGGTCAGATTAATCCTAAATGTAAAAAACTTCTCAAGGTAAGAAGTAATACAGAATTAGGTATAATGGAGCTCTAGATTTTAACTCCTGTGTAAATGAATCTTCTCTCTCTGTGTTTGAAGAGGCTTTTTTTGTGGTGTTGTTTTTTTTTCCCTCTTACCCATCTAAATGAAATGTTGTTCCTTTTTGCTGCAGCCATTCATAGTCTAAAGTTGAGTCGCAACCATGTGGACTGGCACAGTGTGGATGAAGTGTATCTTTACAGTGATGCAACAACATCTAAAATTGCAAGAACTGTTACACAAAAGTTGGGGTTTTCCAAAGGTAATATTTCTCAGAGTATGTAAAGAATATTGTAAATACCAGTGGTTTAAGTTTGTTGCTTTCGTGCTAGAAGGAGATTGCAAGTTGGAAGTTTTAATATGTGATTACCTCACTTTTGCCATTGCAGTTTTACCCAAGGGCACATTTAGGGTCCTTAGGTTTTTGTACATAACTGTAACTAGATGTGAACAGGCTGTGACTGACTTTTATTGCACATTTGATTATTATTATGGATCCAGCAGCTAGCATTGTGTAGGAAGTATATGAAAATATGACAGAGTCTAGCAGCTCCAATATAAGAATTAGAATTCCCTTTGCAACCTTAACTTCAGTGCTGTGTATTTGCACACTGTGATTCATTCCCTAAATATGTGATCATACCTTCCCCTCTTGCCAGCTCTTGCTTTTTTTCAGTCCATTAAACAGATGTATATAAACTGAGGGGAGGGTTGAAGCATTTAGACAGAAGTTATTTCCAGTAGGAACCCAGGCTCATTTCAACTCAAAACTACCATTTATAATGCTAGCAAGGCTGAGATGATTGGAAGAGAGGATGGTCTTTCTTAAGCAAAAGGCAGGTTATTGCCAGCCTAGGAAACTGGAACTTGTCACCTCTTGTCATCGTGCTCCTGTGCACTGCTGGACAGCTACAAAGCCAAGAACATACACCCTTGTTTTGTTCCTTGGTCTTTGAAGAGACAAGGTCATGTACCAGGTTTGGCTTTAATCTCCCTGCCTCTGTTCTGTAATTAATGCCTTCTTACCCCACAGAGCTCTTGAGTGGATACTTAATTAATGTTTGCCAAGAATTAATATCATTCAGTGCCTCAGCCTGAGAAGAAATGAAGTATCTGTGTCCAAAACATGAGTTAAAAAATAAGTAAGATCTGTCCTAAACAATTTTGGGGGAGAAATACCAAGTGGAAGCCCATTTGATAAACAAAACCTGTCCTGTGTAAGAACTGCCCTTAGTGCTTTTGTTAGTGTTTTCCCCTCCTTAAAAACAAGTTTTTTGTTTCAATTTGAGGTTGGACCAGATGATCCTTGAGGTTCCTTCCAACCTGGTATTCTGTGATTCTACAATTCAGTTTTTGTGGCAGGGGATGATGTTGCCATCCTCTTGGGTGGTGTCTGAAGGGGTTGCTGGAGGCTGCTCAGCTAGCACAAGGCTGTGGTCCCCTCCATGGGACTGTCACTAGAGGGGGATGGAGACACACTCTGCCAGTGGGTTCCTCCAGAGATCTGCAGGGCACCCAGATTTGCCCTGGCTGATTGATTTTTGGTTTGGCCACTGAACTGGAGAACGAGTGGGGGAATCTGAGGTTGGATCAGCTTGAAATAAAATAGGTTTTCCTCCATCAAAATGAAAAATTGTAAAGTTTCTCAACTAGCTGTTTTAACTGGGTCAGAGAAAGAATGACAATGCTGACCAGTTTTGTGGCCAGACCATTTCCATGATCTTTCCATGCAGTGAGAGTAAGGTGGGGTTATGAGGAAGTTTAATGATTGAGACACACAGAAGAAGGGTGTTGTGCTGTAAAAGTGGATGGACAGTTACACACCTGTTTTTTAAAAAGCTGTTTTTCAAAACTGCTCTGAAATGAGTTTGTCCTTACAATGGAAACCTTGTTCATACATGGACTCAAACAATTAATATCACCTAGTTGCTCAAAGTGCAGGAGTTTTAAATGACAGATATTTTAAAATACATGCTGTTCCTTTATGTCTGACTGTATTTTCAAAATACTGTAATGTATTGGTCTGAGACAAGTCAAGCTTCTGTCAACGTGTAAGACCATTGCACTTGGTAGAATGTAACTGATCTAGGATCATGTTTTTCCTACAGCTTCAAGTAGTGGGACAAGGCTACATAGAGGCTATGTAGAAGAAGCTACGTTAGAAGACAAGCCACCACAGACTAGTCACATTGTGTTTGTTGTGCATGGTATTGGGCAGAAAATGGACCAAGGAAGGATCATCAAAAATACAGCTATGTGAGTGCTTTGTAATATTTGCAGTTCCTACTCTAGCCTGAATATAAGGCTGACATTATAAATGGCAGCAGGCCCTTTGATTTAAGCTGTATCTTTTCCCTGTTTCCTTCTCCTCTTCCCTTGAGTCATTAGCCTTTATATTCTGGGTGTGCTTCTTTCTGTGTTAATTTGGGTGTATGGACTTAGTGAGAGCAGCTGCAAGGCAGAAAAGCAAGGACATGTTCTGTTTTCATGGCCAACACTTGTGAGTTTTAGGGGACTGACTTGTGAATTTCCAGCAGCTGTGGTCAGGCATTTTGCTGACCAGGGAGAGATTTTTTTCAGTTGGTTAAAATCAAGGAGAATCTCCATTGCCCACTGTCCTGACAACCAGCAGGAACAAGTGAAGAGCATATTGATAAGAGGGCGGGGGAAATGGGAAGCTAGTGGGAATGTTGACTTTTAACAGGGCAGAGTTACTTGATACAGTTGGAATTTGTTGTTGTGTGTCTGCTCATCAAACTCTGAGCACAGATGTCTGATGAAGAGCAAAGCATGATGGAAAGCTCACCAGATCTTTTAATTGAATGTCTTCTGTGAAGAGTGGTTTGCAAATGGCTTTTGATTTGACGTGAGCTAACTCAGAAGGCCTCTTCAGGTGCTGGTGAATGGGAAGAGAAACTCCTGAGCTACTGAGAATGTTGTCCTTGGACAGATCCTGTTGAATATTAGAAGAAACTGAAAAGTTGTGATGACAGCATTGTGGGGGACAAGGTGGTGTTAAGGAAGGCTTCATTAGCTGAGAGGCTAAAAAACTGTTAATTGCAGATCTGTGTTGCACAGATGGTTTGGTGTGTGTGTCCCAACTAGTTCCACGTTCCATCAAAGTTGACAGAAATAGTGACAATACCCAGTGACTCTTGGGGAAGTGTGTGTAGAGCTGGGATTGTCGTGGCAAGAGCTTTGTGAACTTCCCAATTAAATCCAGAATGGCAACGTAGGTCAGGGCTTATGTGCCCCTGCTGTGGTGTGTCCCATCCTGTCAGCAGGTTCACCTTGTTGTTCCACTCAAGTGTCCTCTGGTGTGGTAGAGCAGACCTCTTGATTTCACTGCTGTCTCATTTGTCACCTCAAAGCAGCAACCTGCTGCTCTCCACTCCCCTGGCTGGGGCACTTTGCTGCTCTTATTCCTATTGTTTTAGGGCAAGCAATTGAAACCAAAGAGAAAAGGATCCACAGCCCTTGAGAAAAAGCTGAAATTAGTCACCAAAATAAATGTAAAAACTTACATTTTTGCAGGACAGGAATCAGGAAGTTTTCTGCTTTTACTTTCTCCTTCCCCCATTTTCCACTGAACACAGATACAGGGGTTTTATCAGTGAATTAACTTCAGCTCAGGACACAGTGCTGAGCTGTTCATTCTGGAACAGGTCCTGCTTTAATTGGCAGCCTATTATGTGAAATCTTTTGTCTAAAAGAGAAACAAAACTTGTTGTGCTTCCATAAATCTCACTTACATTCTCCAGGAGTGTCAGGCAGTGTTGTGTGGCCTTATAAAATGCTAATTAAGGCCATGAATTATGTCTTCTGTACAGGATCTGCAAAGGAAAGCACCATTTTAGATTGAAGTCTCTCTTTTATTTCTTCTTCTTTTTTTTTTTTTTTTTTTTGATAGCTTAAAACTTATCAGTGAGGAAGATCCCATATGTTCTAGGATGAGATTTTAGAACTGTCTGCCAGGCCAGCACAGTGGCAGCTCTCACAAACCATCCTAGCACTTTCTGTTAGCACTTTCATCACTTTCATTCATGAGATGTGTGTCGTTTATATTTTTTTTGCATTAGGGACACAAGGAGTCAAATGTCTTTTCAAAAATTATAAAGTGGATAAGGAGAAATATATTTCACTGTTCAAAGTAGAAGCTAAGGGGAAAAGACCTCAGGTTTTGTTTTGTGGGGTTTTTTTCATTTTAAATCCATGTTCTTTAGTAGGAAATCTGTAGTTGCAGCCATGCTCAATCTGTAGTTTGAGCCTTTCTACCATCCACACACAAAAAAATATCTCTCTTGCATTTTGTCTTTGCCATGTACATTTGTTGTTGCTTCTTTTTGGGTTCATTCTATCCTGGCATAAATACTTTGTATTTATTTCAACCTGTGTGAGGGCAATACTTCAGTTCATAGCACAAAAATGTATTCTTACTGGGAAAAGTGATCCTAGAAGGAAGGCTCAGAGAATCATATCACAGAATCCCAGACTGGTTTGGGTTGGAAGGGACCTTCAAGATCATCCAGTCCCAACCCCCTGCATGGCAGGGACACCTCCCACCAGCCCAGGCTGCTCCAAGCCCCATCCAACCTGCCCTTCAACAGTGCCAGGGATGGGGCAGCCACAGCTTCCCTGGGCAACCTGGGCCAGGGTCTCATCACCCTCACAGCAAAGAATTTCTTCCTCATGTCTCACCTAAATCTCTCCTCTTCCAGTTTTAATCCATTCCCCATTGTCCTCTCCCTCCCTGCCCTTGTCCCAGGTCCCTCCCCAGCTTTCCTGGAGCCCCTTCAGACACAGGAAGGTGCTCTAAGGTCTCCCTGGAGCCTTCTCTTCTCCAGGCTGAACACCCCAACTCTCCCAGCCTGGCTCCAGAGCAGAGCTGCTCCAGCCCTGGGATCATCTCCGTGGCCTCCTCTGGACTCTCTCCAACAGCTCCATGTCCTTCTTGTGCTGGGGTCTCACAAGAGCCAAGTAGAGGGGCAGAACCACTTCCTTTGACCTGAAAAAGTGCAAGTACTCAGTTGATAACCCAGACATGGAACACTCTGTAACCCAGGCTGCTGAGAGACCCTACCAGAGCTCATCTGATGTGCTCTGCCCTTAAGTTATGCCTTGACAGGAACTTGGTGCAGCTTGTGGGATGCATCTGCATCATTAAGCAGATCCTGTTGGTTACAGAGGTTAAAACAGAACTCTGCTTCCAGGGTAATTTAAAATTATATGCACTAATTTCATTAAGAAATGGAGTTCAATCTAATCATTAACATGGTCAGATGCTGTGGTCGCAGGGTGTCCTGTAAGTGGGTAAATGGAAAAGGTGGACTTTCTTGATGCTTGAATGAACAGGTCTTTGGTAGATGTGACATTATTTTGTTACTTCACAGTGTAGTTAAACACATTTATGATCTAAATGTAGCACAGCAGCTGGTACAACAAGCTGCTCCTGTCAGTGCTGATATTAACTGCAGAACTCGTTATCTGGGAAGAGCCAGAACCTCCTCCAGGCTGGAGCAGTGACTGAGCTGACCTAACATGAACAGAAAAACGTGCTGGGAGCTGCCTTGGTAACACAGGGATGATTATTGAAGCAAAAGAGTCTATTCTGCATTTCTGTGTGATATACATTAAGATATCATGGCATACAATGTACTTAATTGGAGAGGTTTTCATTTGCCACCAGGTGTAGCTTTCTGGCATTACTGGGTTTCTGAGAAGGAACAATGTTCACTTTAAAAAAAAATATCCTTTTGGGATATCTTTCTATTTTCTTTTTTCATATTGTTATTTGGAATATTTTGTAACTGAAGCCTAATCTCTGATTTTGTTGAGCTTGTGCTTCTAGACTGAGGGAGGAAGGTCCTTACACATACTAAAGAGGATTTATCATAGAATCCCAGACTGGTTTGGCCTGGAAGGGACCTTCAAGATCATCCAGTCCCAACCCCCCCTGCATGGGCAGGGACACCTCCCACCAGCCCAGGTTGCTCCAAGCCCCATCCAACCTGTCCTTCAACACTGCCAGGGATGGAAAAGCCACAGCTTCTCTTCCTATCCATGTTTCCAACCTCCTTTAAAAAAAAACCTGTTTTTTTCACCTGACTTAGGTAAAGGTCAGACCTTTAGGCTGACCCTTTGGAGTTCATCCTGTACTTGAAAATTCAACAAACTAACTGCTCCGTGTGTTTCCACGATAGCTGTGATGTTGTGACACTTCTTGGCTGCTCCTACCCTAAAGCTGGGATCTGTTTGCCTCTGTCTGAATCTCCTGTTTTGCTTTGAAAATCATATTTGCCTGTGCTGCTGCTTGGCACAGAAAAAAAAATTGCTGTCTGCACAAGCAACATCATCTTGGCATTCCACAAATCACCAATTACATTTTTATTGCAAGTCCCATTAGAAAGCATTTTAATTGTGGATTATCATGATAATAATTACTTCAGAACAGCTTTTTTGGGTACATTTCCAGTGCAGGCAAGCCCTTACAGAGGCCTTTCAGTGCATGAAATACGTGCTGCTGGGATCTTAAATCAAGATTTCCTGTAAAATTCTCCCTATAACTTTTAGCTTTTCAGATATTGGGTATTTTCCTTATTTTCCATGTGAATGCTCGCATTGCATTAGGTACATGTTACATTCTTCTTTTCCATTCTTTGGTGCTGGTAATAATTGATAAATGAAGTCTCCAAATGATAAAAATTGCCTTCCAGGTTTCAACTTGAGCTTGTCTTGCAAGCTAAATGAGAAGGTCATCCCAAGAGGTAAAAGGGGATAGTTAGGGCACGAAATACTTTCACAAGAGCCTGTTTTGTGTACATTTATTAATTCTCTAACACATGACTACGTGTTGGGTAGAAACTGTAACAGCTTGTTGAGGACTTAGAGGTGTCTCTAGGTGGGTTCTTGCTCTTGTTCTCCCCAGTTCTGCCCACTGCTGCCCTTTCCCTGCCCACACCAGCACAGCTTGCTCTGTGGTCCCTTTGGATCACTCCAGTTGCTCAAAAAATGTGGAACCCCATGGGGAAGATGGGATTGAGAAGCAAGGAGGCAGGCAGGGAGTGACTCCAGGAACAGGCAGTGCCTCATCTGCTGTACGCCAGGGCCAGCATCTCCCTGAAGGGCAACTTTGCCACCAGCTGGAAAGCAGAGCTGGGGAGGGAGGGACTTGGATGCATTTGGAGCACCCAGATCTCTGCAGGCTTGTCTTAGAGATCCCATAATCAACTCACTGAGCAGCTTGAGTTCCTTTGATCATGCAAGGCCCCGTTGTCCTTGAAAAGGATGAGTCACGGTCGCATTTATTTTGGTTGCATCCTAGAATTCCTTTCTTCAGAAGTTAAATTAGTCTGCATATGTCCTAGAGCAGCATCTTAATGCACTCTGGTCTGAGAGCAGATGAATCCCTGAAGACAGTGGCAGAAGATGACCTGTCTTGCAGTTGCTCTTTGAAATCTGCCCAGATTAAGACTTGAGTCTGCATTTCTGCAGTGCAGCTGCACTTTGGAAACAGCTTTCCTTTCCTTTCCTCTGGCTGGAGCAGATGGCAGGTTTTCTTACTCATGTCTGCTGCTCTCACTTGGACTTAGCAAATTCAGCTGAAGCCAGCCCTGAGTTCCCTCAGTATTATTATTTCCTCAGAGAGGCAGTGAGTGCTGCCCTCCATTTGAGGGAACTCCTGAGTGGTGAAAGCACTTGGAGATTTCTTCAGAGCATCATTTGCCACTTGTGTGACCAAAAACAGGTCCACACAATTTTGCATGAGGCAGTGAGAGTTCAGGGGGTTTTTTGGTGAGGACATCCCATTGCTCTATCTCTTAAATGAATTAAGAAGTTGGCTGGTGTGATGCTTTTTAAATGAAAGACCATTCCCTTTTCCTTGCCTATGGATCATCAGACTGGAGAGAGTCTGCAAAGATGACTTGGGAATAAAGTGAGTGACATTTTCAAGCCTTCAGGCATTTTGCTCTGTTACCAGATATCAAGGTTACTTTATAAGATTTGTGAGCTTGTTTGCATCTCTCCAGTTTTTAATGTGGTATTTGTGAATGTTCCACAAGGCTAAAATTAGCAGCATAACACAGCAATAGTAATAAATATGTTAATATGTCTCTGAATAATGCTTGCTTAAGCCAGGATGTCTACCTGTGAAAATACAGGATTATTATTTATTATTTTAATCATAGAAAGGCAGCCAAGCACATATTATTTATGGTAAGTCTCAAAGTGTCTGTTTTGAGGCCATTACTTCTTGCATGGAAAATGGCATTATGTCAAAATGCTTCCTAAGGTATGAATTGCATCTGCACCTGAGTGGTCTTTTTCCTTAGAAAAATAGTAAATTGTTGCTGTTACCATGTGTTTTGATGTATAGATTTACATAATTGTTGCTCTGGGGTCAGTATTTCAGCATCCATTTGTACTGGAAAGGAGAATTCTCTGCCTGTTTAAATGGGGATTTATTACTTCAGTTGGTGTTAATTTAGCAAGAGACTAGAGGGACTTGCCATCTAATAAAATAGCTCAAAATATTTATTGGAAAAAAAGCCAGAAGAAGAGGAAAACAAGACTTCCTAGCAGAATAGACAGGGATGTGTATAGCAGGTACATATTCTGGGGGGTGGCATGTGAGTGTAGCCACATTGCTTGGCAATTACACCCCGATTTTTGTTAGAATTTATAATATTAAATTGTTGATCAAAATCAGTGGGAGATGCTGGTAGTGCCATTTGCTGTAAAGGAGATGGGCTGCCCTGGGAATTGTCCTGCTGGGGTGTCCTCAAGCCTCCATGGTTCTTGCCATCAGGAGACTGGTGTGATGTTGCTGCTGTAAAATAATGAGAGAGAATAATTGCACCTCTGACAGGATTTGGCTAATGACACTGAGCTGGATTGTCTCAGTTTAGTGGAAGGGGTAAAAATAAGTGTTTTCCTGACTGCACAGTTTGTAAGCTGCAAAAAAAGGAGTTTGTAGTCTAACCAGGTTCCTGAGGTTGGTGTGCGGGGCAGTGACGTAGCAGAGGAGCACACTGGGGAACCTGGGGAATGCAGTTGCTGCACACTGGGTTTGACACCAGTGAGGTGGCAGTTATGAAAAACGTGTGGAAACTGAGCTTTTGTGCACTTCTACCAGAGTGGATTTTGCAAGGCAAAAGGAAGCTGCATGCAGAGTTGAGGTCTGGTTTTCTAATGTACCCAAGTGCTTTTGAATGTTTGTCCGTAATCTGTTCCAGCAGGAGCCTGAGGCTGTTCTGCTGGAGGCTGGACCATGTCTGGACAACCCCAGTTGATGTGGGGGAACCCTCCACATCCGAGTAAAATTAGGTTTTGCATTTCACAAGACTTTGGATGAGGACACAAAGCTGGCACAGCTTTTAGGAGGGGAGACTTGAAGCTTTTCCCAAAACCTTTGGCAGCGTCACGAGGCTGCACTGTTGTTTCCTCACTCACACATCTTAAAATGAAGACTTTTAGTTAAAAACTCTTCCGTGTCATTTTTCCCATGAATAGCTTTAGTAAGACCTTTTCAAGCAGGAACAAACCCTATGGCTGTCACATTTGAAGACAGGGACGTCAGTAGCTCCAATAGCTTTTTCTTCATCATGTTTACAGCTGCTACTGATGTGTAAGTGCTTTAGATCTTTTCTTCTGCACTGTTAGAATCAAGTTATTTCCTGGTTCCTTCACTTCAAGTAACTGTAGAATTCTGTGCTTTATTCCTGAAAACCTCTCCATGCTTTTAGTCCTTTTAAGCCTAACAGCTTTCCATGGCTGCTTGGCTGCTGTCCTGCTGAACTTGCTGTTTCTGAGTTCAACTTAGCTGCCCACCAGCAGAGAAAGCTAAACTGGCTTGATAAAAATGAAGAATTATTAGCATTTCCAAAGAATAGTCATTGACATTTTACGTCCCTACATTTCCTTGGGCTAGTAATCATCTGATTATGTACAGATTAGTGTGTTTCTCTCTTTGTTTTGGTTATTCAGGGACTTCAGGGATGTTAATGTATTTACTGAATTTTTGTCTTCTTGATAATCTTGAAATTCTCAAGTTGGGGTCTCAAATAATTGTGTCCTTAGAGGCATATTGTGTGGGGTGCTCTGTGCTTTGCAAGGCTGGATCAGTTCAGGCCTTAAATTAACCCTGTGATTTAAGCAGATCCTCTTGCTGATTGTGTTGTTGTTTTCTTTTTCCTCATCATGGGAAGGACATTTCAGCTTTGCTTAAAACCTTTTCCATCTTGTTGGACTAGAGACCAGGAGATTGGGAGCACAAGCGAACCAGGCTGCAAAAAATAGAGATGCTGATTAGTTGCATTTCTTGGCTGTTTGGTCAGGCCATCAGTAACAGCTTTGGAAGAAAGGGTGTAAAGGATGCTCTTCTTTTCCTTCCCTGCTCCTTCCCCCTTCCCCTGCTCCTTCTCTTCCTTTTATATATTGCAGAAATCCTTTTATACATTCAAGGGAAATGTCTCAGTTAGGGACTTAAACTTATTCACCACATTTTGACTGATAGAATACAGATAGGAGATGAATGTCCTCATGCCTGTGGTTGTTGCAATCACTAGAAGAGGGTTGCTTTGAAAATAGGGGGAAAAAAAAACATGTTGGAACTCTGGGCTTTGTCTCAGAAAGAAAAAACCCTGTGATGCTTAGAACTAGGAACCAGCTGCTGGAAACCCAGCACTGCTGGGTCAGATTTAGTTGCTTGTGCTCATCTTGAAAAATGCCAGTGCCATTGAGACTCAAGATCAGTGTAAAGGAAAGAAAGGGGAATATAACTCTGTCTCAGTTTGATTGCTGAGTGTATTCAATAGAACACTTGGATATTTCACTGTCTTGTATAATTTTGTCCTGGTTTTCATGTTTTGCTGGTGAATTTTTACACACTAGTTAAGTAGCACTTTTAAAAGAGCACAAGATACCATTAGTCCCCTGCTCCCCCAAACAACAGAGAGGGCTTTTAAGGTATTTGATGTTTATTGCATCCCTTGAGAGAGGTGCCTCCACATTCAAGTTCAGATCTGCTTTAGAGAGGAAGAGTCTTTTATGAAAGGACACTTGGTCTGTCTGCTACTGCAAGTTCAAACACTAACAAATGATTCTATTTCTTACTCTGAAAGCTCTCAAGCCTTCCAATTTGAGACATAAAACAAAATTCTGACTTTTCAAGTTATATTTTTATCTGTTTTCTTTGTGTTTAAAAGCACTAAATTGTCTCCCATAGCTACTGGTCTAAAGAGTTGATTTCAGTGGATTCAAGAATTCAAGGCAGTGATAAAATTCTTAATTTTCAGTCAAATTCTACCCCAAACCCACCAGAGTTCTTTCAATTCAATTCTTTCAATTGAATTTAGGTGATTTATGTTAAGCCTATAGTATGATATATTTAAAGCTTTTTGTAACTCTTTCTTTTGGGCATATAAAGTGCAAACTTTTTCATTATGTAAGAATTCAAGTACCTTAGAACAAAAGCAGGAGGTGGGGTAATGACCTCTGCAAGTAACATTGCACTGCCCTGCCTGGCCAGTAGAAATGTGTTGTTCCTGGGCTTTATTTGCTAAGAGCACTAATCATAATCTATACAGGAATGTGTGCTTTTTATTTTTTCCCCTAGGATGCGAGATACAGCAAGAAAAATAGAAGAGAAGTATTTTTCCAACCTTGCAACACATGTTGAATTCCTCCCAGTTGAATGGAGGTCAAAACTCACCCTGGATGGAGGTACGTTCCTTACTTTACTGGTTCTTTTGCTCTTCCAGTTGCTGCAGTCTGCAGAATTGTCCCCAAAAGTTTCATGCTGTGCTGTCTGCTCCTGCCTTGTTTGGATTTTATTGTTCTGCATGTAACTGAAGTCTCTTCTTTTCTTTTAAGACACTGTGGACTCCATCACCCCAGACAAAGTGCGAGGTTTAAGGGACATGCTGAACAGCAGTGCTATGGATATCATGTATTATACAAGTCCTCTTTACAGAGATGAAGTAAGGCTGCTTTTATTTAAATTTTACTAGAGCAGGGCAGAGGGGCTGAAACAAACTGGAATTAATAAACAAAATTACTGGAATGTAGGCAGAGTTTCCTTCTGAGAGACCCTGCATGAAGAATCTACTAAAGTTCTGCAAGTGTAACAGTCATCCCGAATAATCCAAATAGAGTTTTAAGGGTGAGAGGGGTAGAGAAATAGCAAAAAGTACCATCAGTGTAATTTATATAGAGCAGCAGTGCCTGTCTGAAATGGGACTGTATCAGCAGCTTAGAAATGGGAAGGTTTTTTTGACTTTTTCTTCTTCTTCAGAGTCCATAGAGCTGATATTGTTCATACATCTTACAAAATCTGGGGACATGTCATTTCACCAGTGCAGATGGGATGGCAGCAGCTGTAAACAAACCCAAGCCAGTTTTAATGCCTTTGTGTACACGTGCCTTGCAGGAAAAGCAAGACAGCTCTCAGTTACCTGTTACTTAGGGGACTGTTGATCACAGAATCATAGAAAGGGTTGGGTTGAAGGGACCTAGAAGATCATCTAGTTCCAACCCCCCTGCAAGGGTAGGGACACCTCCCACCAGCCCAGGTTATTCCAAGCCCCATCCAACCTGGCCTTGAACACCTCTAGAGATGGCACAAACACCTCCAGGATGGGGTAGACACCTTCAGGGATTGGGGCATATAGCAGAAGATCCCATCTTACCTGGCCACATCTGTGCAGGCAGATGGGAGCTTTAGTCTGTGTAGCTGTAGAGGGACCCCATTAATCAGAGGGTAAAAGCCTTGAATAAATTATAAAGTGGCCTATAAAACACATACTGCATCACTCCAATAGCATCTTTGTGTGTCACACTTCCAGGAACCCCTGTGAGGGTGTTTTAGGCTTATAGAACCATGGAATCATTTTGGTTGGAAAAGACCTTTCAGATCATCAAGCCCTGCCAAGGCCATCACTGCCCCATGTCCCTCAGCACCACATCTACAGGGCTTTGAAACCCCTCCAGGGATGGGGACTCCCCCCCTGCCCTGGGCAGCCTGGGCCAGGGCCTGACAGCCCTTTGGGGAAGAAATTGTTCCCAAGATCCAATCTAAACCTCCCCTGGTGCAACTTGAGGCCATTTCCTCTTGTTCCATTGATTGTTCCTTGGGTGAAGAAACCAACCCCTGCTGGCTCCAGCCTCTTTTCAGATGGAGGATTACTTTATATAGGAATTAGAAGTTTTTTTCCTGTGTTGACTATGTTATGTGTGGAGTAATGGTCATGTTTTTACAGCCTTGTTGCTCTATGCATGATTAAACTGGGTGGAGAGAGGAGAGACTTTCAAAATTTACCTCCAGCTTTGATGCAACCTTTCATTAAAATGAGATGTGTAGAAGTCCTTTAGACTGGCAGTATAATTTTAAACTCTAGGCTACCTAGTAATACTTTCTTTCCTCATAGCAGTAATGGTGGTGAGATCACTAGGAGCCTTTTAAGCTCCCAACACTAGCAGTATGTGCACAGAAAGCTGTAGCTCCCTGGTTGCTCAGAAATGCAGAGTTCATGGCTCAGGGCTCCTGGGTTCTCTGCTATCTAACAGGTTTCTCTGTTGTGCACCTCAGGCCAGCATGAATTTCTCTGGCAAGTGATAAAAGCTTCACTGGCAGCTTTAAAATAGATATTTTTAAACTGCATTAGAGGCTTGGCTTGTCTGTGGGCACCTTGCAGGAAAAGGGAGGGAGGTTCAAGTATGCTGGCCAACAAGGCATGAAAAACTGAATTTCATTGCTCAGTAGAACTGTAAGTCTGTAGGTATGTCCCCATCCCTCAGGGAGAACATCCCTCTGAGAACTGACAAATGAGTGTGCTGGGGCTGTGCTTAGATCTGATTACAAAATATCAAGGTTTTCTCACCCAATCGAGTGACTTTTCTCCAAGTTTGCACCAATACACGAGTTGATCTTGTAACTTTGTCAAAGCAAAGTTGTACAGTTTGATTTGTGAATATTTGTCCAAAAAGGAAAGTGCTGGTACAAATGAGACATTAAAACCTTGAAGAACAGGTTTCTGAGATGCATTATTGTGTTGCATTCAAGGTGTTTGTGCTGCAGGTTTTCTTGTTCATTCAGCTGTAGTTTTTGTGTTGTGCCAGTTGGGTTGTCAGGGATCACAGAATCCAGACTGGTTTGGATTGGGAGGCACCTTCAAGACCATCCAGATCCAACCCCCTGCCATGGGCAGGGACACCTCCCACCAGCCCAGGTTGCTCCAAGCCCCATCCAACCTGCCCTTCAACACTGCCAGGGATGGGGCAGCCACAGCTTCTCTGGGCAACCTGGGCCAGGGTCTCACCACCCTCACAGCAAAGAATTTCTTCCTTGTATCCCATCTAAATCTCCCCCCTTCCAGCTAGAAGCTGTTTCCCCTCATCCTATTGCTACATGCCCGTATAGAACAGTACTTGATATGAATTATCTTTCTACTTCCAAGTTTTTTCCCCACATCTAGAAGTAACGTAATTTCTTCTTTAAAGCTGTTGACCACTCTTTCAACAACTCCCTGTGGGATTTGCAACTGGGTAGCCACTATTTTCTTTCAGGGGGAAGGAGTCTTGTCATATCAGCTTTCACATGAGACAGCAGAGAGCTGCTTCAGATGCAGCTGGATTGCTCCTCTCAGCATTACAGGAGCATGGTGGGTGACCCCCCTCTCTGATTTCAAGTATTGTTTCTCATGCAGCTCAGTAGGAGAATCTCCAAAAGGTGCCTCTGACTTCTCACATGTAATGCTAGACCAGAGAGGTATTAATAATTAACCACAGCTCCATGAAGATCTCAGACAGTCTGGTCTCAGAGTTCACTCCTGAGGATGTAGGCAGCCCACAGATTCAGCTGAGGCCTCTGTGTGTGTGGTTGCCAGAGAGTTGTGCTGTGCAGGACTTCATCTAGGCAGTGTTCCACCAGGAGTAAGACAGAATCCCTTTCTGAACATGACACAGATAATAAAGGAAAGCAATAAATTGGTCTTCTGATGCACACCTGGGCATTTCTAAATTAATGATCACATTTTCATTCTGGCCTTGGAAATGTAATCTTGGGTTTTAGTGTCTTCAGTGAGTGACTTTGTTTCACATCTGGGTCACTGTAGCTTCATATTTCTTTAATAATAAGTGACTGTAACAGAGCTTAAAAAGACTAAATGATGCACTGTAAATTTAGTGTCACCTTCAGTGTAATGTTATGTACTTATTTTGCTGATCTTCACTGTACTTACTTTCAGGCTAATTGTAATTCTGTAAATTATTGATATTATGTCTTGGCAGAAAATGCTTTTAGTGCAGGATAAATATTAATTCCATCTGTCATCCCAAGATACCTAAAGATTTAGTGCAAATATTGCAATGGCCCCAGAAGATGGGTATCAGAGGTTTATGGGTTACTTCCACCACAGCTGAAGAGCAGGGAAAGATGGTGAATATTGAACATTTCTCACTAGGTGAGGTCAGGAGGCCAAGAGCTTGGGGTGTGGGATGTGGTGGCTGTGGGCTTGGTGTTGGAGGTGTGTTCCAGGCTTGAGGAGGAGGCCAGGGGGAATGCAGGGTGAAGCTGCCAGCCTGGCATTGCTCCCTTGGGCAGACTTCACTGTCTGCCTTGAAACAGCTTGATGGTTTCCTATTATGCACCTATTAAAAAGGAGCGTTAATGAGTACACCCTTGAACTTCAGGATGTGTATAACCTTTCACTGGAGCTTTCATCCTTCTTTAATATGAGGTTTTGGAATGGAAAGATCCTTTTTTGTGTTCCTTCCAACAATAAAAGGTCGTTGTTTCTTGTGTGTTTGAAAACAAGAGGGATGTGAAGCAGGAAATTTTTAACTGAGACTATTTCAACACTGGCTTTGCTTCTTCTGTTGAATCTAATAGTCAAGGAGCTACTTGGCAGCACTTTCATGGCTTGCTTAATTCATTTGATTGCCCTTGAATGTGTTCTCAACTTTATGAAGTGATAGGTTACTGGATCTGAACCTAAACTTAAGTCTTTAACACAGTGAGCTGGTTAGAAATGAGTTAGACTCAGCTTTTCAATGTCACTATGACATGCAGCCATTCCTGTCTGTTCACACAGCAAAGTCTCATTCTGGCCTCTCATCTGTTGTTGTGACACTCTTCTGGCATCCATCAGTGATGCCTTCAGGGAGTGTGACAACTGTTGTATTGGAGGCTCAGCAGTCTCCCTGTCTCTGCCTTCAGTGCTGGCACGTTCTCCTGGTTCCACTCCTTGTCTTTGCTTTCATGGTCCTTTAAGCAATCCCTCCTTGAGCTGCAGACCTTTTGTTGGCTTTTAAGGACCTTCTTCTACCTCCAGTTGGCTCACACACCTTATTGCCTGCCTGCTGAATTTCAAACGAGTTTGCACTTTCTCCTGAAGTTCTCTTGACGTTTGGAGGGAGCTGCTTGCAAAACTCACTGTTCCTTACATCTCCTTAAAATTCCTTTCCCACGAAGTCTACAAAAACAGTCCTGCTAGTCGAGCTGGAGGGCTGAAGAGGTCGAGTTTCCTGCACTCCCTTTTCATATGTAGCTGGGTTTTTTGTTTTTTTCTCTAGTGCTTCAAGCTGTTCATGTGAGAACAGTGTCCAGTGGGCAAGGGTCCTGTGGAGATAGCAGAAAGAAAGACCCTCTGAAAGCTACAGCAAAGGGGTGGGCAGAGCTGAGAGCAGTCTCAGAAGTGGACAATCAGAGCCCAGGAGGAGGACAAGTGGTTTGGTTGGCTTTGACAGATCAAAGAGGTTGGGACTGGGGTGCTGTATCTGAGTTTTGGCAGCAGATGGGACCCTAAGGATTTGAGCAAGAGCCCTGGAAGCTCTGCATTACTTCTGCTCTCAGGGTGCCAGCCCAGGGGTGTTGTACTCCTTGCTTTCTTGGGAAAAAACACAAGCTTGTTTCCTGGATATTGAGGGGAAATTTCATTTTCAACCCTGGAACTTGTGGTGTGCACTCAAAAGGCACTTTGAC